TGCTTGCAGGGGTCCCCTCTAGATAGTCTTAGGAGTAGGTAATGGAAGGTAAAAGAAACAGAAGTTGAGAGAAGAGTGTAGAAAGAACAGAAAAACACAGAAAAAAAACAAGAAAAACAAGAAAAACTGAATTCGTTTTCAATCTTCTTCCTTACAACTCCCCCTGTTCAGAACCTCTTGCGTACAAGGCCGCCCACGTGGATGTAGGTTGAGCGGCGGCTGCCCCCACCCCCGTGTGTCATATCGACCCACTTGCACACAGCCAAAAGGCAAAGAGGGAAAAAGGGCGGCGGACGCGGAGCGGTACCGGTTTTGCGCTACGATGCGCTATCTTTCACTTTTCCCGGGTCGGTGACGGCAGGGTAGGGCTGGAAGATAGCAGTAGGGCTGACTGGTACTGACGTCACCATCTCCTTCCCTCGATTATGACGAGGGAGGAGGTGGGGACTCCTTCCCTCATCAAAGCGGTGCTTGGGTGTGTACCGTTGTGGAATATCAGCGGTCAGGGTTTGCTCTACGTTTCCGGTCGCCTTTGCTGAATGTTGCTCTTCGTGGGGTATTCGACCCCCGTCTCGTGTCTGTCGAAATATGACCTGCGATCGAACTCTGTTGGTGATTATGGCCTTTGACTGTGCCGTTGAAGTGCTATTTGGGCGAAGACTTCAAGAGAAGGATACGCAGGTATAATGTTTCGCCCCTTCACCTCTTGACTCAGGTGGTGGGAGTTTTTGATGTTGAGTGACGGATCTATCTTTAAGTTATTGGAAGCTTCTTATTAGAATATTATAAACTAGGGTTATATAACGGTAGGAGTAGTAGTTTCTTTTCATTGACGGCGTGCCACCATGGGGGACGCCGATCCACCATCTGCTATCTCGTTGGAAGAAAAAGAACGGATTCGAGGAATTCTCTCTCAATGTTACATCAATGGTATTCTTCCACCCCGATTGGCCCCTTCCAGAGTGGAAGTGGGGGAGGATTACGTGAAAGTCACAGTCAATCCAAAATTATATCGTATCCAAGCAGAATGGTTGCAGGAGCATGCTGTGACCATTTTGTTTGGGGACGAATCCTCCTCACTCCCAACGGACGTTAAAAAACGTCTGGTCCGAATTTATGAAAATGGTTGGGCTTCTGCAGCACAGAACGGATCTAATCCTCCGAAAAGGGGCCTGTTCAACAACGAGGGTCGTAATCTAATAACTTATGTAGCCCCCTGCAAAGAGCTGGCAGATTGGATGCGAAAAGTGGCTGGAACCAGGATTGAACTGGATAAGGTCATACATAAGGTTACGTTCAAACCATGGATGACAGAGTACGAACTCTCGGAGTGGAGAGAGGTCGCCCGACACAGATTCTTCTGGATTCGGTGCCAACAGGTTCCAGTGGGCGTCCTCCATCTCCTCCCAGGGGCCGTGCGAGATGCGTATGGCAGCGAGTCTATCAAAGAATACCCGGCTGTCAAAGATAAGCTGGAACCGGATTTGGTGACCTCGAATCTGCTGCTCGATTACGATATAAGAAATATTTAGTAGTGGATTTGGGAAGAGATGGTTATGTTGAGTTGGAAGTGGTCTGCGCGGAAACACCCTGGTGTCCAGCGTGCAGACAACATTTTCATTTCGAAGGTGATGAAGACTGTGCCTCACAGGGGAAGAAATCTTATGCTAAAGTTGTTCAATCGAAGGATGGGTCAAGATCGGATCTGAAAGGTAATAAGTCGAGAGAAAAGACGAAGGAGAAGGGAAAAGGGCCGGAACAGAAGGAAAAAGATAAGGTGAAGGAAAAGGAGAAGGAGAAACCTGCTGAGAATAAGGAGAAGGATCACGCCTCCCCAGAGAAGGGCAGATTGAAGGAGAAGGGGGAATCGTCTGAAAAGCAGGGTGGTACAAAGGAGAAGGGGGATTCATCGAAAAAGCGAGGAGGGCATGGGGAAGCGCAAGGGAAGGGAGATCTCAAGGGGCAATCCCCGGGAGTTCAGAAGGAAAAGGAAGTGGAGTCGAGGAAAGACGAGGAAAAGGGAATAGAGTCGAGGAAAGAGGGGGGAACCCCCAGGGACAGGGACAGGAATGGAGAACAGGGTAAGGGAAACACAGACTCCAAGATGGCCCCGATGATGGAAGACAAAATATCAATGGGTAGGGAAAAGCGAAAACGCGAAGAGAAGTCCGAAGACTTGGACGAGGGGGGGATTTTTGTGAAAGGGAACGAAATCGTTCTTCACAAAGGTTTAAGTTCCTCCCCAGAGCAGGCCCTCTCCCCCCTTTCTGATTCTCCCTCCTCTTCAGAGGAAGAGGAGGAGGAGGGGGAGAAAGCTCAGATGTGGGAGAAGGCTTTAAATCGTTTCTCTCCCTTACGAATCCTAGATAATGACATGTATGCCTCCTCGCAGGAGGAGTCAGAACATGACACAGATCTGGGAATCGAGACATTGCACAATTTTAGAGCACGACCATCTTGCTCCCCGATTCATGATTCTTTGGATTCAGATAGGGAAGAGTATTGTTCAGTGGACAGCCGAAGTCTAACACCAGGGACAACGGAAAAATTACCCCCGGCTAGTATATATGTGCCCTCTTCTGGTTCAGGGGCATCCCCGAAGAAGAAACAGCGGGCTGCAAAGAAACTAAATGTAAAAGTGAGAAGTGAGGAGGTAACCGCTGGGATATCCCACCGGCGCACAGAAACTACCAAGGCTAAAGGGGATGTTAAAGGGAATGACAAAGTTTGCAAAGGGAGAAAATCTCGGGATCCAGCGCGCCCAATGCAGACTCTGCAGAAGAAGAATAAGGGCAACGAGGGTAATCCAAAGGAATTTTTGGTTCCTTTAGTAATCTCTCCTTCGCCCTATGGTCCAATGTTGTTGTCCAATATAGATCAAAATGAGGTCCTGTCGCTACCAGCAGTTCCTACTACGGGCCCTCCCCCTGATGCGCTGTGGCGTTCGGCTACAACAAAACAGATTCTTCATGAAAGTGGTACAGTTGCTTTGCTGTCCGTTCCTAAGCGGGGCCGACACATTGCTACAAATGCACAGGGAGACAAAGTGTTACTCCATATAGCCTGTTTGGCCCTGCGAGCCAGTCCAGGCGATATGGAGAGCCTTCGTGCTCATAACATTTATTGGTTGCCGCTGTCTCGTCTTTTGGAAGATAATGGGGATTCTTTAAAGGATATTAATCTGTCGGAGGGTTGTTCTGCCCAGGATGTAGCAGAATGGCTGCATCTCACAGATTCAGTAGATGGCTTTTCATCAGAACAATTCACTGCTGAATTGTCTGTCTCACAAAGGGCAGCAACACCCCCCCGAGAAGTGACCCTCCCTCGCTCTAGGGGAAGGGGGGCACCAATTAAGAAACCAGAGAATAGCCGTATCCAAATCCCACACGACCGAGGGTCAGGTCATGGTTCTACCAAGTAGAATCAGACTGGCAACCTGGAATGTGCGTGGGTTTGGGGACAAGAATAAAAAGTTCAAAAAATCTAGATTTAAGCGGTGGCTGCATTCACAAAACGTACAGATAGCATGCCTCCAAGAAACGAAACTTAACGGAGAAAAATTGAACGCCATTGGCCAATGGTGGGAAGGGCCTCAGATTTGGTCCCCGGCAGTGGGTTCCAAAGGGGGTGTCACCATATTAGGGAATAAAGACCTGGATATCACAGTTTTAGATCAATATCACAATAATGAGGGACGATGGGCTTGGCTTAAATTCTCTATAGATGCAGAAGACTGGGCCATTATGATAGTATATGCTCCGGTAGACTACCCGGAACAGTTGGACTTTCTGGAGAACCTCGCTTCCAATATACCAGATGTTGAAAATCTAATTATGGGAGGCGATTGGAATACCATTTTTAATCCAGGCCTGGACACTCTTACCGCTAAGCCCTTACGGGCAGATTCGATGAAGCTGGCCTCCTTTTGTGATACCCAGAATTTGTTAGATGCTTTCAGGATCTTCAACCCTCAGGAATATGGGTTTACTTGGTTTGGTCCACCTCCTACACCAACTTCCCTAGCTCCTAGGAAGAGATTGGATTTTTTCTTGCTCCGGGGCGATCCATGGGATCGAAGTATTTGGTGCGATGTAAAATCAGCATCCCTCTCTGACCATTACCCAGTCCTCCTAGACATACTTCCTAGAAGCACAGTGGAGCGTCACCGCCCCCCCTTCAGATTAAATATAAATCTCCTAAAGGACCCGGGAGTTATCGATTGGGTTAATACTCAGATGACTCGTTGGATGTTGGCCAAGGATCTCTTCACCGATTCTATGCGGTGGGCGGATACGGGAATTGCCATAATACGCGAGGCACTCGTCACTTTCTCAAGGATGAAGGCAGCGAGTAGAAAATGGAAGGAAGCGTCGCTGACCAAATTAATCTCTCACGCTGAGTCCCAGATGGGCAAAGACCCCTTCTCGGACTATCATTGGTCCGGGATTCGCAAGGACTCGTTGTCCCAACTTGAAGCATTGGAAATCCAAAAGCAAGCAGAATGGATAGAACTTATAAACCTTAGAGGATTCCTGGGATATGACAGGATGACAAAGCTGACTTTTCGCTCTTTGTTACAAAGCCAATCCAGATCTTTAATTAGAGAATTAGCTCATCCTTTTGACACATCTGCACGAGTAGTTGTAGACACAATGGAAATGTGTAGATATGCTCTTGATTATTATAGGGACATTGTCACCACCCGCAGACCTCTTGACCCCCCCCAATTTGATATGACGGCATCTTCGACCTTTTGGGACCTCTCACACAGAGTTATCTCACAGGCCGCAGCGCAGGATTTGGATAGACCGATTGAAGAAGCAGAACTCTTAGCGGCAGCAAGAGCTATGGCCAAAGGCAAGTGCCCAGGCCTAGATGGACTGCCGATTGAGTTCTTTCTGGCTTCTTAGGGGGCCTTCGCCCCTTTTATGTGCTCAGTTTATAACGAGGCCCTCCAATCAGCGAGATTTCCAAAAGGATTCACACAGGGTATGATTTCACTGATGTATAAAAAGGGCGACAAAAGGAATGTGCGTAATTGGCGCCCAATTTCAGTACTTAATGTCACCTACAAACTGTTCGCTAAAACGTTAGCCCTACGAGTGGCAAAACTCCTCCCCAACCTGATAGGGTGGGAACAGGGAGCTTTTGTCAAGGGTCGTTCAATATTTGAAAATATTACAGCAACAATTCAAGCCCTTGAGGTGATAGCTAAAGAAAAGAGGGATGTCGTAGTCCTTCTCCTTGACATGGAGAAGGCCTATGACAAAGTGGGGTGGAGCTTTGTCCACACAACACTTAAGAGAATGGGATTTGGTCCAGGTTTTTCGTACCTGGGTGCGAGCAAGTTATGAACAGGTTGCTTCGGTAGTAATTGTCAATGGGGCCTTATCTGAGGAATTTCAACTAACGAGGTCCCTTAGACAAGGGTGCCCTCTGGCCCCACTCCTTTTTGTCCTCCAGCTGGAGGTATTGTTAGATAATATTAGGAACAACTCTGTGATTATGGGCCTTAAACGGCCCCAGGACTTAGAATGGAAAGGGGGGGCGATAGTTGATGATTTGACGATAGCTTGTGATAATAATTCAGATTCAATGAATGAACTTAGAAAGGTTATAAATAGCTATTGTGAACTTTCGGAAGCTTCCATTAACTGGGATAAATCGAGTTACTGTCTCCCTCCTCCCCGAGTCTTGAGTGTGGATTGGGGTTTGAAGCAGATTCCTGCAAATTCGTCGGATCGGTTTCTGGGTGTGCAGGTTTCCTTATCTGACTGTGCTGATGTGCAAGACTCTCTCCTTGCAGATAAGGTGGCAGCCAGGATAGCAAGTTGGAAACGTAATTTTAAACTTTTGCTGTTTGGCCGAGCCTTGGTAATTACTTCTGCAGCTTTCTCTCTCCTTTGGTTTCCGCTTTCAGTACATTTGTTGGGAGAGAGAGCCTATGCACGAATTAAGAGAGATGCGGCGCGATATTTATGGAAGCCTGCAGCAGAGGCCCAACAAGGGTTTATATGGAAGGTAGCGTGGGAGTTGGTAGCCCAGGCAAGACGACAGGGTGGACTGGGTATACTAGACCCGGTCCACCAGAATCTGGCTCTCCTCTGCAAATGGGTGATTGCTGCTGCTTTTGGCCTACGGTCCAAACTATGGATTCGTCTGCCAGGATATATTCTAGCCAAAGAATGGGAGCTTTCGAGGTCCTCAGATGTATGGCTCTGTTTCTTCATTCCATCTTACACTACCAGGAGTGGTGTAGTATTTTGTTCGCCTGGCATAAGTTATCCCCCCACGTTCTCCGTCCCCCGGGGACGAGACAGGAAGTGTTAAATCAGATAATATTTGAAAACCCATTGATTAGAACACCGGAAGATACTTGGCTTGAGGCAGATGGTAGTAAAGGGTCTTTTGGGAAAAGGTGGGTCGAGAAAGGGGTGGTACAGATTCGGGATATCTGGGATGAGTCTACGGAAAACTGGTTGACAACAGTGGAAATCCAACGGAAACTTCCTAGACTTCGAAGGGTGGAAGAGAATTATTGGATGATCCTCTCTTGTATTCCTGTGTACTGGACTGCGTTTCTGCCAAGAATGGCAGAACATGGCCATGGGGCATGGGTGGTCGACCCCAATAATAGACATGAGTTTCTGAAAATCTTGGGGCCCGAGCTCCCACAGGGAATCAGAGTGCATGTGTGGACCCAAAAACCGGGACTGAGACCCCCGACATTGTTGAGGAGATTGGAAGATAAATCTATCCCCACTTCGGTGGGTTTTCAGGAGTGTAGGGTTTGGCTCAGTTCGGCAAGCGAGAAGGAGAAAGATGAGGCCGCCCTGATATTAGACGACATAACTAATTTACACATAGAGCCTTTGCTCTATGGATGGAAAGGGGTGTCCAGTCCCGATGCTCTCACTCTGGTTGTCAAATACAAGGCCAAGATTGGCGTGCAGATCTTGAGGGCTACAGCAAAGAAGCAACCGGTGGTGATTGCGACAGATCGCCTTTCGAAAGAACTGGGCTTTTCCCTGGGAAACCTGGACCTGTTCGGATTGTGGGAGGGTTTAAAGATTATGGTCTCACAGAAGCAGGCTAGTCTCGCTTGGCTTCAGTTGCTCCTGGTGACACCATCGGCCACATGGTTGGCAGCAAGGGGAATGGAGATTGGAGAGCAATGTGCTCGTTGTAACTGGGGATGGGAAACAGCAACCCACATCTGGTGCTACTGCCCACATTCCCTCAAGTTGTGGGAATGGTGGAAGGAGAAATGGAAAGTAATTGCAGGTAATAACTTTCCTTGGACACAGGAATGGATACTATTTGGCAAGACAGATCCAACTCAGGATTTCGCAGGGGGAATGGCGTATGTAGCCTTGGCCTGCAGAGGAGCCATTATGGAAACAATTTGGAAGGCTCGTAACCGAGCCCTCTTCAGAAAGGAGGAATCTTCCTTCCATGAACTTAGCAGCATGGCAGGGTCCATGATAAGGCAGACGATTCAGGCAGACTGGCACTCGGCCAGGTCCCAGGCGAGGAAGAATAGATACTGGTTCTGTTGCATACTCCAATGAGTATGGGCAGAACCAAGAATCAACCAATGTAGGATGAGTATAGATGCAACGGAAGTCTGATAAACGGACTGACTCACGTAGACTGACTCACATAGACTGACTCACATAGCATCACTCCACACACGTACAATCGTGAGGTGGTGGGGTCTGAGCCATACATAGAAGATGCTCAGGCCCGTACACACATACACAGATGAATGGGGGAGGAGAGACGAAGAGGTGGGGGGAGGTAGACAGCACCGAAAGTCACCGAGATAGAATCTGATAGGTCACC